TCAATTTTTCTCAAAAACCATAAAGTATGCCATGTTATAATTTCAAAAACAGAATGAATGATGCATCAATGTAACAGGTGAAATGGTGAATTAACCGGAGACCCTGCAGTTGGTCCTGTACGGTTAATTCTATAGCTCAACATCCAATCTAACCGGAGTCACCTCAGTGACCTGTACGGCACTACACTGCATATAAGTCGGAACTACCTGAAGTAGTATGTACGACATGAATGGTGTAATAATACGCTCTAGTGCTTCTCTTATCAATCATCTGTGTACATAATCTAAGGTCACCTATCAGTCGGAACCCTCTCATGGTCTGTACGACATGTCAGAACCCTCTCATGGTCTGTACGACATGCACCTACTTGGATCCAAGGTGAGCGTGCGGTGCGAGGTGAATAATATAAGCACTAACACTATGATTGCAGGTTATGAGCTATCAACATAATATACATCATCAATGATTCACATGAATAATATAAAACTCACCTGATACTTACATGTGCATCCACAGCACCAATTCACACATATATATATATATGCATCAATTATCAATTCATATAACTCATATCATTCATATCATTCATATTATGCATGCATGGCATTTTAGAAACATACTTTCATTAAAACTCAATTTCTGGGAAAATTCATAGTATATAGGTATAAATAGAAAGTACTGCCCACTCACCTGGAGTTCGCCCAACAACTCCCTAGAACAACACATGAAGGCATCATGACGATCGGCGCCTAGAACAATAATCAAATCCAACCTCAGAAATCACATCGATAGAATATAACTTATATAAAACACATCACTACGCAGTTCGATCCGGAAGATCTACAACTCAGATTTCAAATCCATAACTTCCAGAGGTCCAAAATATACCTCTAGGACAACATCCTAAAATTTCATTACCATTCAACGGTCAGATCTCCGTCAATTTCCAAAACCAAGTGACGGTTAACATTCTATTTTATGAACTTACAACTCCAATTCCGAAAGATCCGTAAATCGGATTCCCAATCCGTAAGTTCCTATAATCCTCAAATATTACGTATTACAACGTATCAAAGTTTGGTGACGATCCAACGGTCGGATCGTCAATTCACATTTTCACCTAACCACGAATCATAACGAACTTAGGTTCAATTATTCAATTTACGTCCATCAATTATCAAAACTGAACCTAGAACCTTAAAAACATGCTAAGAATGACATTGGCGGGCCATTGGCCACTCGCCGCCGCACGGGCCGCCGCGGGTGGCGGTTGGCCGCCCCGGTTCGCCGGAAAATCCAACTATTTCCAAAAATTCTCAAAAAATACAGAATTGAAGATCTCAATGAGTAGAGTAAACTTTATACATGTGGCCAAGGCCAATTTGGCCTGGAAGAGCTCCAATTTCACCAAAGCCGTGAAGAACCCTAAAATTGGGTGATCTTCAATTCAACTTCAATTCAACTCGACCGCTCCAACCAACAATTGGGAATTGTTCTAGGCCTCAAGGGAAGTGTATGAGTAGTGTCAATTGGAAGAAATTGCTTCAGAATTGGCGGATTCCACCGTGGGTGCCCTCGGGCTCGACATGAACTTTTGTCGTGAAATCACGACCAATGACCGTCAAACTCAGGTGGAAATGGAAGCTGGGATGATGCCATGATGATACCAAGTGAAAACTAGGTAAAAATCGCCTAAAAAATGGCCAAATTTGGCCGGAAATCCCTCCGGGTCGTGCGGGTCCACGGGGAGGAACGGGTAACCCGGCTGGGTTCCCTCCTTTTCTTCTTCTCTCCTTTCCCTCCTGTTCTCTTCCTTGATTCGTCACTCAACTTTCTCTCTCTCCTCCCCATTCGACCTCATCTTCTTGTTTCCAGATTGGGCAACCTTGCCCAATCCCGTTTCTTCTCTGTTTTCCTTCATCCCCGTTCTTTTTCTTCACATACACACACACAAAATCCTTCTTTCTCTCATCCCAACCATTCCTTATTTTCTTCAATAAATCTGGGCCGTCCATTTCATAAAAGAAAATTCTAGATTTTACTAAAATTATAATTCCTTAAAATCCCAAATTTCAAATGTTAATAACTTTTTCGATATAACTCCAAATCATGAACCGTCAGCGCCCACATGACCGTAGTGACGAATACTACGAGGATATGTCAAGAAAACGAATCTTAGATGGCACGACACAATGATTAACCTCGAATAATGCGCGTGCCTCAAAGGGCATTTTTGTAAAATCCTTTATTAAAACTTTAAAAACTCTTAAAATTAGGGACGGGCTGTCACACCGGCTCTTTTCTTTCAATTCAACATTAAATTTTGTATTCTTTTTTTTTTTTTTTGCAGAGATGATTTTTAAGGGATGACCTATGAGATGTACAGTTGCATTTTCGAAACATAACTCGTAGACCCATAAATTAGGATGATGTTCTAATTACCCATATTCATTCGAAAATTTGTATTTCAAGCTCTTTTGTTTCATTTCAATATTCTAAAAGTTTGGTATTCTTTTTATTTTCGGCGGAGATGATTTTTAAGGGATGATCTATGAGATGTATAGTTGGATTTTCGAAACATAACTTGTAGACCGATAAAGTGAGATGATGTTCTCAGTACCCGTATTCGTTTGAAAATCTGTATTCAGGCTCTTTTCTTTCAATTCAACAATCTAAATGTTTCGTATTCTTTTTATTTTTGGTAGAGATGATCTTTAAGGGATAACCTACAAGGTATACAGTTGGATTTTTGAAACATAAGTCTTAGACCCATAAAATGGGATGATGTTCGCATTATCCGTATTCATTCGAGTCTCTAAAAGTTTTGTATCTTTTTTTTTTTTTTGGCAAAGATGATCCTTAAGAGATGACCTATGAGATGTTCAGATGGATTTTTGAAACATAACTCATAGACCCATAAAGTTGGATGATGTTCTCATTTCCCGTATTCATTCTAAAATCTGTACTTCGGGCTCTTTTCTTTCAATTCAATAGTCAAATAGTTTCGTATTCTTTTTATTTTTGGCATAGATGATCTTTAATGGATGACCTATGAGATGTACTGATAAATTTTTGAAACATAACTCGTAGACCCATAAAGTGAGATTATGTTCTCATTACCCGTATTCATTCGAAAATCTGTATTTCGTGATCTTTTCTTTCAATCAACCAGCCAAAAAGTTTCGTGTTCTTTTTATTTTTGGAATAGATGATCATTAACCGATGACCAATGATATGTATTGTTGGATTTTTAAAACATAGCTCGTAGAACTATAAAGTGGGATGATATTCTCATGACCTGCATTCATTCGAAAAGCTGTATTTCAGCATCTTTTCTTTCAATTAAATAGTCTAGTAGTTTCGTATTCTTTTTATTTTTGGCAAAGATTATCTTTAAGGGATGATCTATGCGATGTACATTTGGGTTTTTGAAACATGACTCGTAAACCCATAAAGTGGGATGATGTCCTCTTTACCCGTATTCATATGAAAATCTATATTTCGGCCACTTTTCTTTCAATTCAACAATCTAAAAGTTTCGTATTCTTTTTATTTTTGGCAAAGATGATCTTTAAGGGATGATCTATGAAATGTACAGTTGAATTTTTGAAACATAACTCGTAGACCCATAAGTGGGATGATGTTCTTATTAATCGTATTCATTCAAAAATCTGTATTTCGGGTTCTTTTCTGTCAATTCAATAGTCTAAAAGTGGTGCGGTTTGAAAGAATAGCAGTGGTGCAGTTTGGAGGAGGTACAACTCCATTGGTCGCAATGGCAGAGATGCCGAGAGAGACGAAGGGTTTTGGGTTTTAGATTATGGATTGGATATAAGGTTGTGAGTGTTGGGGATTGTGAATGGCGCCTCGCCGGATCTAGGTTGTGAGGGAAGGGATTTTCGAGATGGGTTTCGACTATGCAGATGATGTTCTGGGTTCTGATATGAAGGTAGCAACGATAGGACAGGGGATGAAGGACGGCGGGGCGTTGGACGGGAGAGAGGAAAGAGTTTTATTTTATATTTTTCAAAATTTTAATTATACAAAAAACTATTTTTTATTAATTAATCTTTTTTATTTCTTTTTTATTCACATGGTGCAAAATTGGCTACCATGTTAGCACAAATGTGATCCCCATGTTTGCCACAATATCACTTAACTGTTAACTTAACAAATTTTATAACGGTGGTATGAAATTGAAATGAAATAAAAGTAAATGTAAGTGATTGAAATGTTTTTAAAATGTTGTATAAAGTTACAATTGCACCTAAACTTAAGAGTGCAAAATATAATTTACCCTATTTATATTGTCATGTTCATGGCGTATCGTATCCTAGTGTTTAGAGACTTTTCATATTATCATGCCGTTTCATATGATACCACCGTGCTTCAGACTTTACCACAAGTGGAATAAAATTGGAGTCCAAGGCAAACTCAATCCCAACCTTGAGAACATCAACTACGTAGCGAAGGCAAAAATTAAGCTTGAAGCTCTCACAGCAAATGCACCAACCATCTATCCTTGTTCATTCCGCACAATAGCACAAACACCACGAACTCCATCAGCGACATCATCTTCTGCACCATCGAGAGCAAATTATTAATTAAAAACAAGAGTTTCCGCTAAATTCCGAAGACATATATACTCAAAACCAACTTAATTGATCCAACTCCTATTTATCGTATAGATTAAAGGTGAAATCCTTTATAAAAAAGAACGAAATTACCATTTTGTTCCATATGATGGTTTACTAATTAATTATGTTTTTTTTGTTAATTATTTGTAGAAAAAAAAAAAAAACTTTGTTAATTTTATTTGTTTGTACTGTGTTTGTCTCGCATGAATCCCACATCAGATGTGATCACAGAAAGTAGTTTCACTTGAAGTCTATAAACGAGAATTTGTCCCACATCGAAGAAAGACAACTTAAGAGCTAATGCTCTTCCTTATTAAACGAGATTTCTCTTGGTATATATTTTAAGTGTTTTCTTATGGCTATTTGTCCTAGCCAATATCTTAAGATTTGTAACTCTACAACTATTAATGGGAACAATCTCTAATTCTGAGAGTGTAGCCTGACTTTGGTGAATCACATAGATCTTGCAAGTGAGTGTGTGTGAGAGATGAGAGATCTAAGCATCACCATACAAGGTCGAGTTTGTGTGTGAAATCTAAACACCATCATACAAGGTGGAGTTTGAGAAATGAGGATGACGAGAGGAAAAGAAGGCGGGATGAAGATTGACGGAAATGGGAATTCAGGTAACAGACGATTGTTTTCTATTTTTTTTATTTATTCGGTTGTCTTAGCTTTCACCTTGTTCTGTTAGGATATATAGAGAAACTGGGGTACAACGGTAATTTCAAGTTTGCAACAGAGGATGTAGATTGGACCCGCAAAAGATGTCAAAAGAGGAGATGTCATTATGCTTCGATAAAAGATCAAATCTGGGCGTTTTGAATGCATATGGTAAAAGAGTAACAGAAAGAGACTCATGATCTTTATTGTGTGTATCGACAAAAAAGAGCAAAAATTAAATGCATTTCTAAAAAGACCGATGGCCAAAAAACCGATGGCCAAAAAACAATGTATTTATGTTTCGATTTTATTTTTAACTTATTGGGTGCTCCAATAGAAGAAAAATTGTGTATATTTATGTCATAATTTTCTAATTATTTCTCTGCTAGCTGGGTTAATTAATATTGCCCCTATTGATGTATTTTTCTAATGTATTACAAGGTTATTTGTGTTTATTGTCATATATTACGACTTTCTCTAATAAAAGTGGAATATGTTTAGATGTATGTTCGTGTTTATCATACTTCGCTCGGACTTTATTCTAAAAATAGGATAGTTAAGTACAAATATTTCATGACAATGCCAATATAAATTGAATGGAAGCCTAAATTTGTTGTTTTTAATATAATTTGTATTATTATTTTTATCAAATAATCTTAATTATTTTTTAAAATCTTTCATTGGATAGGCATGCATGATTTGAAGTCTTTTTTTCTTTGAACAAACGATAAAGCTAATGAGTTAAATAGTTAGTTGTCAGGGGGGGAAAGGAGATTGAGGGGGATCAAACTTGCATCAGGATGCATAAACATGATTATTTTCCACTACTACAGTGAAGTGTCATCTGCGAGTTGAAGTGTATTCATTTTAGTACTTGAGAAGTTACCATGTTTATAGCTCCATATATGTCATATTCCACACTTGCACTATCATTTAATTCAGATCAAGTATTGCAAGGGTGCCAATATTATTGGTCAAGTATTTACGTTACAGGGTGAGAGCATAAATTGGTATTGAATTCATTATCGACGAGAATATAAGACCTCAAACTTACAAGTAAAGATGAATATCACTACACTAAGGAACAATGCGTTTTATTAAAGACAATACATATTAGACCAACAAAAAATGCCAAAAGAAAAGAGACAATTATATTTCGATAAGATCAAATTTGACCTCATGATGAGGAGTGAGGATCCTCATCAGATCCTATTTGTGAGGATCTCGGGAATTCTCAAATCACATCCGTTCATCATATATTGTGCGGTAAGAAATCATTGTAAATTTTTTATTTAAATTTAATACAAACAGTATCTGACAAAAATTTATCATACGATACACGATGAACATATGTGATTGGAGGATCCTTGGATCCTCACAAAGAGGATGAGTATCCTTAACGAGGAGAAAAAATTAAATGCATTTCTAAAAAGAGGCGATGGCAAATATAATGTATGTACGTACATTTCAATATTATTTGTGGCTTCTGTGTGTGCTCCAATGGAAATTGTACAGATAATTATGCCATCTTCATAAGTCGACCATTTCTCTAAATCTAGCTTATTTTGTGTTATTGTTTCCCCTACAAATATATTACTTCTAATGAGGTAGATGGTTGTTCATTTTATCATCATACGTACGAATTTTTCTCGTTAAAAAAAATGAGATAGGTAGATGATTGTTCGTATTTATCGTTATAATTGGTTAAAATTTTCTCTTAAAACTGTGGGATAATTAAGTACAAATGTTTCACGACAGTTCTTTATGATGGTGGGTATTTAAATTGAAGCTTAAATTTTGTTGTTTTTAATATAATTTGTTTTATTTTTTAGCTAATAATCTGATTTCTTTTCTAAAAAAATGTTTTTGCACTTGACCAGTTACCATGCTAACATTCTCATATCGTGGGGTAGGCCCAATCGAGCCCAATATATATCTCATTCACCCATCGGAGCCAAATAATAAGATAACCCTTTACAAAATGTGGTTTGAATAGTTAATGACATTCTTCTTGATCTAGAAATTGAGAGATTTTTCAGTGTGTTTAAAATATTGAACGAAATATCATGTCATTGTTTAATTAGAGAGACTTGAAGAAAAGAAATTTTGTATTTAATACTAGTATGGTGAAAATTATCATCTAGCCCTAACAAAGAAAATGATACATGTTAATAATAGTTTTGTACTTAATGATATATATTTCGATAGTTAATTTCGGTTGGAGGGTAAATAATGATATGAATAACGCGTCAATTTTACTATAACGAAGTTTCGTGAAATATAATGATCTATATTATCGCTAATTCAAATTATAACGATCATTGTGCGCACCATTTGAATTATACCGAACTTTTAATATATCAACATTGCGCGTCAATTTTATTATGACTCAATTCATTTCTACATAAACGGTCTCCATTATCAACAATTTAAATTACACTTAAACTTCTATACAATGGTCAATATCGCGCCAGTTTTCTTACAAATTAACTTGACGACATTGCACAAGCTCTTTTCTTCTTGGCTCTTACATATGGATTCATGGGCAGCCTGAGTGCTCTTGAGGAGCCACCACTGGAGACGACTTGACATTGTCATCACGTCCCTTCATGACTGTGGCGCACCAATACCACCAACACCCAATGCCCGAGCTCTCTTTTTCTTAGCTCTCATCGACTCGTGGCATTGACCAGAAGTGCTCGCATGGTGATCATGCCGCCCCACCACCAAATCGGTTCCATTCCGGTGATCTGATTCTCCACCGAGTGCATCGTCCCGACCATCAAGAAGATTGATCTTCTTCTTCACTTCAGTGCTTGTAGGATTTACAGGCACCACAGCGACGCTGCCGTCGTCAAATTTAAGGAGCCGGAGTTTATTATTTTGAAGCTCCTTATCGTGCTTCCGATGGAGTCGTATTACGTTCGCTGCAGTGCTTAGGGCCCTGTAGTGAACGCCGGTGTGAGCCGAGAAAACCTGTGCCGACTCGTACACTTCGTGGCATATCGGACATTCGTACCACTCGTCGGGTCTGCTACGGTGCAGGCTGTGTATCCGCCCATCAGCTCCGAGATGAGAGAGAATTTCCACATCAAGCGGCTGAAGGCCCTCCTGGACAGCGTCGTTGTCAGCATGCACCTCAGGACGTGGTGGGGGTATTCGGTGAAAGCTGAGCAGTGGATCAGCCGAGTGAACTGGATGGCTTGCTGCTGCTGCTTGTGGTGGCGCCGTTGATGGGTTTGCGGGATCCATCGTTTTTCTTGACGGAAATGGAGTTGGGAAATGAGGATGAGGAAAGGAATTACAAGGTCGGATAAGTGTTGACGGGAGTCGGAATTTTGGCGAAGCACGACTGTTTTCCTTTTTTTTTTTTTTTTTTTCTTTTTTTTTTGTTCTGAGAGTTCTGTTAATAGGAGAGTTCAGAATATAAAGAGAAGTTGGCTGAAGGTTGGGGTAAAAGAGTAATTTCAAGTTTGCCAAGAGGATGAAAATTGGACCCACAAAAGATGTCAAAAGAGGAAATATCATTATGTGGACAGCCACATCAGATGCCACATAATGTGGTACACTAATGTGGTATATTAATGTGGTAAGAATAACATTACCCTGTTTTGATAAATCAAATTAAAGTGTTTTGAATGGATATGGTAACAAAGTATTTGAAAGAAACTTGTGGGCATTATTGTGCATATCCACAAAAAAATAAAAAAAGTAAAAATTAAATGCGTTTGTTAAAAAAACAGATGGCCAAAACCATGGTATTCATTTTCAAAAATTGATCATTCCTCTGCCAGTTAGGTTAATTAATATGTATTTTTCTTACGTACTACATGATTATTCGGGTTTATGGCCATATATTACGACTTTCTCTAATAATAGTGGAATATGTGTAGATGATTGTTCATGTTTTTCATTTTGTTATACATGATAGTTTACTAATGAATTTAGTTTTTTTTTTTAATTATTTGTAAAAAGAAAATTCTTAATTTTGTGTATTTGTGTCACAGCCCGTCCCGGAATTTTTAATTCCGAGGACGTGAAATTACAAAAACGCCCTTAAACGGGATTAAGGTACGTAATTTTGGTGTTTGTTTTACCTAAAATTTCTAAGCTAGTGTTGTGTTGGACTTTAGGTAGGGTCCTATACCCTAATTTCCTCCCCATTTTCCGTAACCTTTCCTTCTCTCTCTTCTTCTTCCATTTCAGATTTTCACTCTCTCTCTCTTACTCTCTAACATACGGACTCACACACAAACCACAATCAAATCTCCACGAACGTCCAAGTTAAGACCACATTTGGACTCCTGGAACTTCCACGATCACGTAGACATCAATTTCAGGTAAGTTCTACTTCGGAAAACCCTAGTTTTCAAAGTACCCGTGAAATGGCACTGTTCATAAACTCTTAAATGGTGGTGTTTTAGCTTAAAACAAGATCACAGCGAGCTTAGTGAGGTCCCAAGGAAGCTCGGAGTGCTTCGTTGGAAGTTTTTGGACGTAAGAACACGGAGATCGACAAGTTCAAAGTTTAGCCGGAGCTTTCGAGGCGTTTTCCGGCGAATCCCCGGCGAGTTAGGAGTCGAGGTAGGTATCAATCTCTTCTTCTCGTCAAGTAATACAACTTTCCTTTTTGTTTCACTCAATTTCGTTGAGTATTGAAGAAGTTATACTCATTTGAAAAAATACCCAGTTTCCGGCGACCTCCGAGGCTTTCGAGGCAGTTTCCGGCCAAACCACGGCGAACTAGGTGTTGTGCAAGGTACCATTCTCTTTGTCTCTTCAAGGGCTACAACTTTCGTTTTTGAATCACTTGATTTCGTTGAGAAATGACAAAGTTATGGCAATTTGAAAAACTGCCCAGAAAACGGCCGCCGGAAAAACCAGTCCGGCGACCCAAGGAAGAAGAAGGTGCTACAGTAAAAATAAAAAATAAAAATAAAATTATTTTAAAAATATGTCGACGTCCGTGACGTCGAGTAGATCACTGTGATATATTCATATACCTAAATTGAACACCGTATGAGAAAGTTATTGAAGATTGTTGGTTAGGTGTTCAAATAACGTTTTATAATTTTCACATTTAGGTGAAAATGTGAATTGATGATCCGACCGTTGGATCGTCACCAAACTTTGATACGTTGTAATACGTAATATTTGAGGATTATTGGAACTTACGGATTGGGAATCCGAGTTACGGATCTTCCGGAATTGGAATTGTAAGTCCATAATATAAAATGTTAACCGTCACTTAGTTTTGGAAATTGACGGAGATCCGACCGTTGGATGGTAATGAAATTTTAGGATGTTGTCCTAGAGGTATAATGTGGACCTCTGGAAGTTATGAATTTAAAATCTGAGTGGCAGATCTTCCGGATCGAACTACGTAGTGACGTATTTTATATAAGTTAAATATTCTATCGATATGAATTCTGAGGTTGGATTTGATTACTATTCTAGGCGGCGATCGTCGTGACGCCTTGATGTGTGGTGCTAGGGAGTTGTTGGA